TTGAAAATAAGATTTGTATCGATTGTCTCGAAAATGAAATCTGCAATCGATTCCTAACTAATTTATGCAAACATAGAAGCATCTATGCCTCTTTTTTTTTCTGAACGTCAACTTCATTTCATACACTATTCAATTTCACACACACAAATTTCAGTCATTCATGTGAAGCCACACATATGAAAACAAAGCTCTCATAATTCATATCACATACACACATATATATATTATCTTTATTTTTGAAACCAAAGAAAACATTATATACATTTATTCATATAAATGTATGATCATCTCAGTGGGATTTTATCAAGATTCGGTTTTTTTTGTTAGCAAACAAATTTTCCCGGGTCACAAATCCGATTTTGTTGCTCACTCATTGCTCTTTATCCTTTAAGTTATTGTGTTTGTGGACCTTAAAGTGTACAAAAAGCTTATAGACTATTATTCGCCGTAAAACAAATATACATAAAGCTTAATTCATTCAATATATATTACAAAAAAAAATATCCCGCAAATATAATCTAATCGATCCCACGGGATTACATGGTTCTCTAATACAAAGAAGCCCTAATCTTGGGCATACCAACCAACCATGAGATTAACCACCCAGCTCCGGTTCATTGAGCAATTGGCGAGCCATAGACGGATCATAAGAAGTTCTTGTCGTCCGAATCTTTTTTTTTTTTTGGTTTTAAATGTAGTCCGACTCTTCTTACGTTTCATAAATAAAAATTGGATGGTCAAGAAGATAACTTTACCAATCGGTTATCTCTCCAATCATATTGTCTTCATCACCTAGTGTTCATGGGACATTGGACACAAGGAAATCTTGATTGTAGCCACCAATGTTCTCTTTGTCGTCGTTGATGAATTGCTCGAGAAATCGTAGTATTTGATGCTGAGAACAATGCTCGTACCGAGATATGATTTTGCTATTTTCTTATTCAGTCCATGCTCCTTTCTTCAATCCTTCTCATCTCCGATACAAGATGGTCTCTTTGGACATTTTCTTCGTAAAATTTAGAATAACCATAAGTGGTTAATTTAAGATAAGGAGATATGTCTCTTTGAATAGAATCATGATGCATCCGAAACGTACGATCTTCCCTCTTCATATAATCTAAATACATGTATCTCGGTTAGTCTCACTCTCATGCACTCGGGAAAATAAACTTTTTAAACAACCGTAATTAACTAAATTAATGTACATACAATATAAATATATCATTCATTAGTTTACTCTCTAATAATTAACGTCTATTGC